AGTCTTCTGCAGTAATTCTTTGCAGTGTCACAAATGCTAACCTCCTAAAGATCATATTTTGCTGAGAGAAAAGGCAAGAGCTAACATTATTATTTTTTAGGCACAGCTTGAAAGAAGAATATTTCTCCTAGAAGAAACCCATGCACAGACACCTTAAAACACCTTAGGCACTGTATCCAAGGGATCTGCAATTTTTTCATTAACATTTACCAGAACTAAAACCAGTTACATTTCACCATACAGACAGCAAGTAAAAGACAAAAACACTCACTCCTCATTCAGCAAAAGGACCAGGTCAACCACTACAGAATCATTTTAAAAAGTGCAAACACTAATTATAACAGTATAATACAGCATCTTTTCTCAACTGTAGTACAGATAAGACTGCATGTAACATGCAGCCAATATAATTTTAATTCAAAAAGTAACACACTGCTCCTCCCAATAAGAAGTGGTCTGCCTTCTCCTCCTTCCTACTTTGCATCTTAAAGGTTAATACACAGCCGAGTGCCACAGAAAAAAAACCAGCTAGCTATTTGCTCAACTCCAAGTCCTTTGCAATTAAAAAATTTTCACTGAAAACAACTCAAACCTTTGTGTGTTTTTAATCACTGACTTAGAGTAGAAAGAAGGAATCCTCAACACCAGTATTTCATATACACATTAGAGACTGCACAGTATTGTTACTTCATCTTTAAAAATCATTCAGGCATTGAGTGTTTAGTTTGGAAAGAGTTCAAAACTGGAAAGCTTCCTTGAAATACATGAGCTACCTGTATCCAGCCTGACATCCTCATGTGTTGCTTTCTAGGTTAATAAGATTTAATCTTATGCTTAAATCCATGGAAACTGAAGCCAACTAGAAAATCTTTCAGTATGTTTTAAGCATTGCAGCACTTTGTTCTTGTTTTAGAAACTATTAGTGACAGCTTGTAGGAACAACTTATAAAAGACTGCTAATAATATTTAAGTACTTTAATCTCCAAGCATTTATCACTGGGTTAGGTTTTGTTTTTATGTTGTAAGTTACGGATAAGAGCCAGCACAGACACACAGCTGCACCATAGAATGACGTGCTTAATATTGCTACTTCCTTACAGGGTTTTTTTTCAGAACTATTACACAATTTAAATCTACACTTCTAACAAGTTAGGTGTAGTTTAAGCTCAATTTCATGCAAAAAGCAATATATGATCACCATCTACTTCAGCGTTTTCATCTTCTTTGCTTTTCCCTATAAATACTACAACAAATGCCTTTGTTTCACAGCATTTATCTCTGGATTCTAAGAAGCACCACAGAGTGGCACATGAAGGCTTCCTTCTAAGCAGAGTTACTTGAATGGCGTGCTAGGATATTTTTCTCATGTGTACTTAAGCAGCAATACCCACTTGAATGATGCCTAATAGGAGTATTTACTTTTAAGATCCCTATTCTCAGTAACTGAATTTAAGACATTGAACACTTCTGTATTGAAGTGTTCTATTCCAGGCATTGTAAAACCAATCTCAAAACATCTAATTTTGTGTGCCCATATAAAGAGTTCTAGGTAAGTCCAAAACACGTATATTGTGAAAATATCAAGATGACAATGGAGTTTTACAACTATTACATCTGCCAGTAAGGCAAAATGGTTCCAGTTCATATGGCAGCTTGGACCCATTTTCAAAACAAGCCCATGAATCTTTAAGATTCAAGGTTTATGCATAAAAAAAAAAACGAAACCAACAAAACCAAAACCACAAAAACCAAAACCCCACTACCAAAGAAAAAAAATCCTGCAAGCAAACATAAAAAGTAACATAGAGACACGAGAAAGTTCATTTAAAGTTAATGGGAAAGACTTCTTCTTGCGCTGAAGCTAATGGATCTGTCTCTAGAACATTCCATCTAATGAAATGAGAAAAAGAATTTGGGTTAGTACCAAACAACTTGGGATAAACTGTCTAGCCAGATACTACTGACAAGAGAAAGCCAGAGATTGAACAGAGATTCTGATTTAAGACCCTAGTAAGCAGATTTGCAATAATTCAATTAAGAGAATGGTCTCTCATCTCTTTTAAGACTTCCCAGTTCTGTCTCTGTTGCTGAGCTTTATTTCTCTATCACACGAAGGCAGTGTATTTTAACATAAACTTACTTTCATTTCCTTCTCTCCCAACCAGATTTTTTTAAGGAGGGCAGCAAATCCCGTATAGGGTTCATAGCAATGTTTAGCACAGCTATTTTTGCTACTACGCCACCTGTGGCGATCTTTCCAAGAAAAGAGCAGTGAAGGATAACTAACAGTACCATTTGCGTCCACACGGGAGTGCTGAGCACGTACCGAAAATGTGTCCATTTACAGTGCTTTCAAGTAGATGTTAACAATTTCTGGCATTAGGAGTAAGCATCTGTAGCATGACCACTTAGCAGCACATTTCTTTAAATGCTCAAGTTAACATTTAAAATCCAGATTTAAATTTATGTTAGGCATTTTAAGAAAGCCCATCGGCATTTAAATCATACTGATATGCACAAATGTAGTGGGGTTTTTTTACCAAGTGTCTGTAAAGTTCAACATGTAAATGCTCTTCAGTCGAGAGGAGCATGTTATAGTCACAGGAAAGGGGCAGCTCCTGTGACATCTGAGAAATATTACTGGAACTAGGAAAAAATAATTAGTGACACACTGCAAAGTATGTCATAATACACAGACCAAATAATACAACAACCACTTGATAGTAGGTCCCATCCTACCTACTTCCTAAGGGAAGTCCAAGTTTCTCCTTTTTACCTACTGCATCTCTTGCTTCTTATGATGAAACTATACTTTAAGCTTTGTGGTATTTGTATATAATGATCACCAAGATGTTACAATTAGTAATTTTTTACACAGCAGTTGTGGTTTATAGTGGATAAATTACTATAACAGTAAGAACTAGAATATATCATTACTTACCCCATTTTATCACCTTACATATAGGTCTAAAGAGTCATCAAATACAGCTATACCATCCAAGTTTGTAAAAGCACTTAAAAGCTATTGAGAGGATAGAAAACTGGGGCTTTCTGCTGATTAAACACACAAATATCCCTTTGAGAGCTTTCATACAATGGATAAAGATTAAGTACTTAAGGGAGGACTGAGCCAGAACAGGAACCAAGTATTTTGAGCTAGAGCTGCTACTTAAACTTTCCTGTTGTACTAAAACAGAAGTCTCTATCAAATTTAGCAGTAGAATAAAAGCTCATGCAGCCCAACAAAAGCAGAGTCTTTACTTAGTTCTATTTCATCACTTTCACATTTTTTTCCTTCTGAAACAGGAATAAGTGTAGAAAACCCCAAATAACTCATCCTGCATGAAGAAAGCCTACTTTGCAGATCTATTACAGAAATCCCACTGTCAAAGTGTTTATTTTTCAGCCAACAGATGAAAACCACTCTAAGCTCTGTAGGTAACGCTTTTCATCGTGCTATTTTCAAGGCACAGTGACTATCAAAGAAATCCTTTCATAACTCCTAAAAGATAGCATTACTACAAGTGGATTAACATGACCATATTTAAGGTATCACAAAGCTTAGATTTTAGCTTTAAAAATGATGATCTATGAAGTAGTACTGATATAACAAGTATCTCAGGAGATCTACTGACTGGTGTTGAACAGATTCATTTGTATCACAGAGAAAAAGGATTTTCAAAAGTTTTTTGATACTGGCTTTGTAGCTGTTCAAGGTCTGCTAGAAGCAAGCAAATGAAAGCACAGGTATGCCCATATACACACAACTTGAAGGGCACATTATCAGAGTCTGCTAAACTCATTTTAAATGACACAACCAAACCACAGCAGAATTTCTTTCTTAACTAAGTTTTTCCAAAAATGTATTGAAAGGAACACTTTTTATTGTATTATTTTGATAATGCACAAAAATATTTGAAATGCACAAAAATATTCTCATGTACAACTCAGAGAAAAGATCCCCTTAACTGAAAATTATTATATTTGAATACTCTGTATTTCATTTTATAACTAACTCTGGACTTCTTAAAAAGTTGTCATTATTTAAATTGTGCTCACACTTGTCACTCAGTTCAAGACATTCTTAAAATATGCAGCATTTCATTTATATTAGTATCATCTCAACACAATGCAGTTTTATCTTTTCATTAGGTTTTAGTGAGTATCTGAAAATAATATTAACTGCAGAAATTAATACAGAATATAAATGGCTAAACATGGTGTGCTAATTTTCTACTTTGCTTTCACAACAATACAAAACAACAAACCAACAAGAAACAGGCAGCTGTTAATCTGTGGTTTTGTTACATGTTCACCCCATGGTAGTTTCCCCCATTCTCAGCCAACTTGTTTAGATAGTCATTTTAGCTGGACTGCAGCCCTGGGAAAAAAAGGTAATCTACTTTTGAGGCCTACCACAGTGTCATTTAATATGAAATTATTTTATGTTGTAATTGAAGAAATGCTGCTGTTGTAGATACTTTATCTTAGCACTTTTTTGTTTGGTTGTTTTTTTTTAAAGTAAGTCACAGAAACATGTGTCAAGAGGTAAAAGACAGAAATTCACTGGAGAACTATGGCTCCCAAGCAAACCTGCTACATAGCTTCAGCAAGAGATTGCTACTAAAATTAAAATGTTTATTTTAAATGTAGCCCCATTTTGGACCTGGCCTTGCATTCCTCAAGCAGGTGAGAGCTGTACAACTTCTGCCTGCATCAAGAACTCTAGGATTACCATTCCCAGCAAGTAATTTTGTTTAAGGTATGTGCTTTTGTGTATATCTGCATCTATATACACTGACAGGCACTGTAGAGCTATATACACAAGGCCAGTTGTAATTCAAGATTCAGATGTTGAAACTGTCTCTTACTAAAAACAAAATTTTAGGCTCCTTGAGCTAGCAGCTGTTTCTAATTTGCAAATTCATAGGTAACAACTATTTAAATATAAAATTACAAATAAAAATGTAAAAATTGGTATATAGTAGAATACATGGGAGTTAACAGCGGTAAGTAGTATTTTAGGGTCCTAAGATATTCATACCCAGTGTGTAAAAAAGCCAGACTTGCTTCCAGCTGTACCAGTCACACAAAGGCCTTACCTTCATTACAAGAATAATGCAACAAACCACTTCCCACAATTGTGTTATTTTTTTATACACCTCAGTATGCCAATATCGTGCGTTTACATGTTAGCATGTTTTTGCCCTTACGCACTGCAGAGCTCTGAAGAGGAGACTTTTGGGTGCTTCTGTGGATGAGTGAGAGATGAGTGATAGTAATGGAAGTGTTACTGTGGTCTTTGGCACCTCTATCTCATTAATAAAGCACAATCCTGCTCCATTTTTTCCTTTAATTAAAAAAAAAATCCCATCAGTGGTGCTTTTCATCAGCACTGAAGAGTAGAATAGGTCTGTACAGCCAGATGAGAAGAAAACATCTGAAATTCAATATATGTGTCTACAATTGTCTTTTCATCAATTGCACAGAAGCTTGGTCCACTTCTTCAGTTACAGTCTTCTTAAGAACTTTGGTTACAGCATTAATGTTTTGGTAAAAAAAAAATCAAAAATGAAAAAAACCAGAGCAGATGCTTTCCTTCTTTTCTTCAGGTAGATTTTTCATTGTCCTCTCCTGTCTTCTGAACCCGCGAATACTTTTTGCATGAAGATTTGAAGCAGCTGGGAGGCCAAGATATTGGCCAGGAAAAACTGCAAGGAACAGAGCCTTGCACATTCTTCTCAAAGAAATAAAATATTGGATACCACCATGCTCGAGAGAGAAAATTCGTCTGCGAAGACACCTTTAAAGTCTGTATTGACACAAGCATGCAAAGAGGAAAAGGCAACTGTCAGTTAAAAAGCTTAAAATCTATTACACTGAGTCAAGACAACAGCAAAAATGCAATGCATGTGCATGCATTTCTGCAAAGACTCTGAGTATTTAGCCTAAAAACACAGAATTGAGACAGACATTAGAGTCCAAATGCATTCTACAAACTGAGCATCTTTACCACAAAGAGATGCTTTGTTGCAGTGGAAAATTTGGGGCAACAAAGCACTCGAGAACTTTTCAGTATGAGTGCTTTCAGGCATGACATGTTTCCACTGATGAGTAATAGTTGAGAATTAGACTAAATGGGCTTAAGAGCTATGCTTCTGCTTGAAAGTGTTGTTGAAACAACAGCAGCAACAACCTTCTGAACTGTGTACCTTTAACGACATTTACACAAGAATTGTCATTTGAATTGTAGGAATCACAGAATCACAAGGTTCAAAGAGACCTTCAAGATGATCGAGTCCAACCTGTTTCCTAGCACCTCAACTAAACCATGGCACTGAGTGCTACATCCAGTCTCTTGTTAAACACATCCAGGGATGGGGACTCCGCCACTTCTCCTGGCAGACCATTCCAGTACTTTATCACCCTTTGTGTGAAAAACTTTTTCCTAATATCCAACATATATTTCCCTTGATGCAGCTTGAGACTATCTAGATAACTTCAGTTATGCAAAAATTTTATTACTCAACTACTGTTTATTCATAAGCTGAGACAAAGAAGGGGTATTCTATACATCAATTACAGTATTAAAACCTCAAAAGCTCAAAAAATATTTTTAAGGCAAATTAATATTATTTACTTAAATAACAATGAAGTGAAACTCATTGCCCATTCTGATTAAATTTCGATATGGAACATCTTTTTATTCTGAGATTAAGAATATTTAAGAAGATTTAACCTTCAGGCAATTGTAACAAATGCAGGCTACACATGGATTGTGAATGCCACTCACCTTTTCATTAGCCATGGAGTGGTACCACCAGAAGAGCCGTGTGGTGATATAGTAGGCAATGATGACATCTACGGTATAGTGTTCATGAGCAACCAGGATACAAATGATGCCAGCAGCACTCATCAGCCAGCAGATCAAGTGATACCACCAGAAATGACGTGGTGAATCTGTGAGACAGGGAGGCGATGGGGAAAAACACAGCAAAAAGTCATCTGTTATTCTAACAGTCCACAAAAGCAAGGGGGAAAGATAAGAAAATTCATTTAAGGCTGCTAAATTTGAAAACACAACTCATATCGCACTGGTACAGATCCCCTGCTATCACACTGGTACAGATCCCCCGTTTTGATTGGTATGAATTTACATAATGAATTACACAAACTTACTGCAGTGTTCTTACTTTTTTAAGTGAGCACAAGATGGGTTAGCTAGACAAGACTGCCACCCATTTTCTAGTCAAATTAAGTTTTCCAGTTAAATAATTTCTAGGATTTAGGGTGCAGAGGAAGAGACAAAATTGAGGTAAAACATACACTTCGCTTATTTAACTTCATTGTAATTAATCTTTTCTTTTCACACTCTATATTGGAGTAAAATCAAGCCTCTAGAACTGATACAACCTGAGCAGAGATCACAAATTAAACAGAAAGACACTCATTTTAATTATTAGGTTTTAATTATTTGCATGAAGCCTCAGTTCTATGAAACAAAATACACTGTGTAGAAGAGTATGTGAATTTATACCCTTAAATGAAAGGTTTAACAAATAGGAGCGAAGCTATTCAAAATGCATTTCAGCCACATCAGTGGAAAAGTTCTCCTGTACTTCTTTGCCTATTGAAAAAATGCCCTGAGTGTCACAATGATCATTCATAACTTCTGACAGGCAAACTGGCTTTATTTCACTCACAGTGCGAGGTTTTGGCACCTCCTGCCTTGTGGGGCAACAGTCAGCCTTTACTGTCACACAATGCCAGCAGAAAAGTTACTGATCTCAACAAGCCTACCCAGTAGGCGCTGAGAGGCCTGTGCAAAACAATAACTGCAAGCGTCAAAAAAATTCTCTTAACTCTCCCCAAAACCCTGCAGACAGATCTCCATCCACTGATTTTTTTTTTTTTTTTTTAAGATGAGAAGCCAAGCAATCTCAAGAAGTTGATGAAAACAGCATTGAGAAAGTCAGACATACCAAGGCTAAAAATACAAATAACTATTCTGGTGAAAGACGTGGTGTGCAGAGAATAAGTGAAAAAATGGCAGAGTACAGAAGGAAGAGAAGAACAGAGCAAAAACTCCACTAAGCCAGACATAAAAACCTCAGAATGCATCTTACACCAAAGACATGTTAGTGAAAGAGCAAAAAAGACCACCACAAGCAGCCTCTAATTCAGAGCAATTATAGGGCTTATGCCCTGGTTCAGATGACATTTTGATTGTTATATGTGAGGTAAAAAAAGGAAAGCTATGCATTTCTCACTTATAGCGCACAATTTCAGTGAAATATATGCCTAACAATTAGGCAGCAGTCAAAGGGCTTATTACAAAAATTTGCATGATAAAATTGCACCAATCCCTTATAATATAGGAGAAACTAGCCCAGAAAATATTGGGTTGTCTTCATCTTTTCTGGTACGATTGAGTACGTGAGTAGCATTAAAATATACCATAACAGAAAACACAAGGAAAACAATGATGATTCTTAGGTCTAAGAATCATCAGCATCTTAAACCACTATTCAAAGAACATCTCAGATCTGTGATTTGGAGTCTATCACATTCAAGAGGCCCTTTTATAGTGTGTTTTTTGTTTAAGGCAGAATACAGCACAGCAGCACCTTGTTCCCTCAACATTTTAATACAAGGAAGGCATCAAACTAATGCTGCTTAGTCTTATTTTTATTTCAATGAGAATACAACATTAGGAGGGAAGACTCCAACTCCAAACATGTGAACTGAGAAGGGAACTCCCCACTACACATTCATGCGTGGCCAAACTCCCAGGATAGCACTGCTTACCATATATTAGATTTAGAAGTCAGTGCTAAGTTCTCTAACACTTCAATAGATGCTCTCAGTGCATCTTCTCAGCACAGAAGAATTTTCCTCCCATTGCCCAGAGCAATGTAAAGCTCAAGGAGAAACCATAACTGCATCTTCTGCATGCTTGCCAAGTACTTATCAACCACAAGAAACATTAAGTAGGAGACTCGAGCACAAGACATCCAAAGATCATGAATTAACTTTTCACTTGCAGTAACTAATGTACAGCACACCTGAGAAAAGTAACTTTGCTTCTAGATGCAGTGTAGATGTGCAATGATGCTGTGTTCAAGCCTACAACCCCCTGCAGCTAACCTGCACAGAGCTAGTGTGCACAATTACTACAGCATGCTTTATCCAAAATTTAAATCATCTGTCAACAAATGATGAAAAGCTATCTTGTTTTAATCAAGCAATAAGCACTTACACAAAGACAGAGGTGACATGTTTAGCCATATTTAGCCCTTAATTAAAGCCCATAACACTTTTAGTCAGCCTTACCACAATCCCTAGGAAACAGCTCACCCTTGAGGCCATCACTAAGCATGTGGTCAGGATTAGTTAGCATAGATTCACCACAGGGAAGTCATGCTTAACCAGCCTGATAGCCTTTAAAATCTGGACAACTGGCTGGATAGATTCCAGGAGACAGCTGGATGTTGTCTATGTGAACTTCAAGCAAGACTTCTGACACTGTCTCCCATGATATGTTCACAGGCAAGGCTGAACTGAACTGGCTGAATGGCAGGGCTTGGATGGTTTTTAATCAGTCTACCTCAACCCAAAGGCTCATACTGGGCCCAGTATTGTTTAACTTACTCATCAACAATTTAGATGAAGGGATAGAGTTCATCCCCAGCAAGTTGGCTGAGAATACAAAGCTCAGAGCAGTGGTGCTGTGCTGCCCTTCAAATCTCACACAGCAGAGGGATGGGCATGGGCAGAACATTTTGAAACACAGCAAGGGCAAGTTCAGGGTCCTGCACTTGGGACAGAAGAATCTGGTGCACCACTACAGGGTGGGGCCAACCTGCTGGAAAGCAGCTCTGCTGAGAAGTACCTGGGGGTCCTGGTGGCCAAGCTGCCCATGAGCAGCAACCTCATGGCCAAAAAGGGCAGAGTAGCCTGGGGTGTATTAGTAAGATCATTGCCAGCAGCTTGATGGGGGTAGTCCTGACCCTCAACACAGCCCAGTGAGGCACATCTGGAGTTCCAGGCTCCCTAGTACATGACAGATGTGAAGCAAGTCCAGTGGAGGGCTACGAGGATGATTCGGAAGCTGGAGCACCTCTCTTGTGAGGAACAACAGAGGACAATAGGCCTGCTCAGACTGGAGAAGTGTGAGAGGAAACCTTATCGATGTCAAGTCTCCCTTTCTGGAAATATTCAAGAACTATCTGGACACAATCCTGTGCAACGTGCTCTACGGAAATCTGCTTGAGCAGAAAGGTTAGGCTAGATAACCTACAGTGGTCCCTTCCAACCTTAACCATTTTATGATTTTACTACAGCCACAGTTCCATTTCCACTCAATTTGTGTTTCAAACCCATATAAATACAGGCTGTGTACAACTGATGAGTAACCCTTGGAGGGCAGTAGTTTCACATGTACTTTTGTAATTCATTTTGCTGGTACAATGAACATGAACAAGAAAGTGCATTGAAATACAATCACTTACACTCTTTGATGAACAGATAGACCAGCGTTAATACTACAGTGTGTCCACTAAACAGGAAGTCTCCACACAGGATGTGGGATCCAGTTATGGATAGACCACCACCAGAAATCAGTCGCAGGATTCTCTGAACCTTTGCCTGAGAGTCTCCATTCAACTAGAACACAGAAAGAAGTATCGTAAGTGACTCAAATAAACTTCTTGCGCAAACATATATAGAGTCAGGGAGACAGGGATAAAAGGACAAATTATCTTAATTTTCTTCAGGTTTCTTTCACATATTCTTAAATAAGCATGCATTTCCCAGTTGACAGGTGATAAAGATCAGTTTGGTAACACTAGCATTTGGTCTATATTTTTGATTTATAGTCAGTCTATATTTCATCGATACTTTTCCAGGCTATTTTAAAATATGCATTGTATGAGAATGAGATGCAGAATATACTGAGAAGGTAAACATTAAAAATTTTGTAAGGTTAGATCTCTCACAGCAGTTGACATAATCAATGAAACTCATTAAAAACTGGTACAACCTTCATACAAATTCTGTTATTCTGTCCAGAGTTGACCAGTGTTACTACCAAGTAAAACCCTCAAACTTGCTCCATTTTAGATTTAATTACAAAGTCATTCAGGACTTAACTCGTATTTGGAGGATGTACATTTTTAAAGCATGTATTAGAACCAGCTTTTGATTTCTTATAGATACTAGGCAGTTTTATCTAGCTGTTTTAAATTATTCTAGGAAAAAACCCCAAGAAAATAGATAACTGTTTTCCATAATCAGAACACTATTCACATATTAAAATAATCCAGAAAAATGATCAGCAACTTTTTTCCAGAGTTCAAGTAACTAATCCTGGTTTCATGCTAGCAAAATGCACTTTCAGCAGAGACATTTGCACTTTGCTTTGATTACCTCTTCTCACTCTTCAATACAGTCTATCACATAGTCATTCCCCAAGCTGCTAGAACAAAACCATTAAACCTTTACAATAGTGGCAGTTAAATAAAGCATTTTCAAAAAGACACTGATTTGCAAGAGAATTATTTCATCCACTATATCCCAAAGTTGTCTCAATGTACAAGACAACAGCCATGATGCTGTAACTCAAGACTAGAAATCTTATACAAGAGGTGACAAATTTATTCCCCCACTAAACTGGCAATACATTTTTTCAGTACAGCTAACACAATAGTTTGTTCCAAGGAATTTTAAGTCTACAACTTTTTATTAGTAACCTAAAGTGGGAGTAACAACTCCTTTATGTCAACATTTAACTCCAGCATCATTAAATCCTTAAAATATTTTTGTAAAACTATTAGTACATCCATGTTTCTGTGTGTATCAGTTCATTTATGCAGCTGAATTTAAGTCACATTCCTATACATTCTGCAGGTTGGAAACCAAGACAGGCAGCTGAGTTCAGGTATTGCAATAGCTCTTGACCAAATAGTGTGAGAAACTAGGCAAAGCACATAACAGTGTGGGGTTTTACAGGGATACAGCAACAAAAGCTTGCATATCAGGCTATGAATTACAGTGTTGACCTGGGGTATCCCACCATATAAGAAAAAAATATTGCTACAGTATTAAGATTAGCTTGAGCCTCAGAAGCAAGTTGACTGATTTAGTAGCAGCACTATTTCAACCTAAGATGTTCTGAAAGGGAGCAGCCAACTCCATCAACAATTTGAGGCTCTGTTATCACACAAATTTTGGTTTATCACTACCTATGTTTCTGAAGACATCAACTGAAAGTAATTTGTGTTATTTAGTAATACCTGAAAAATTATCTTCTATTTGATGTAAGGAGCCATCAGGACTGATGCAGAGACTAAGGCAAGAAGCAAAAGGCAAAGACTCTTACCTTTGGTGCACACTGAAAATGCATTCCAGGCACAGGTAAGGTGGTAACGTACATGGTAATACAGCGGTACAGATACAAAGTTCCTATTATAAAAAAGAACCTGCGTCCCACTATTGATCTGAAAGTAAGGAAAGGGGGGAAACAGATTGAGTACAAAGTTTATATGCAGGACATTCAACAGTTATGGAGCTTTAGCTATATTAGATAGCTGAATTCTTAGAATGAAAGAGCAGATTCACCCCAGCTCTTCACCACACACTTTGCTGAATCAAGCATTAAAACATCCCTCTTCAGCTTTCAGTCTTGTTAGCTCCTTATAGAGTGAAACTCTCACCAATTTAAGATGGACTCAGTCTAAGTTACAGGTGTGGCCAGGCAGTTTTCCTCAACTCAATGGCATTTTCTTTTTAGTCCCATACTATAACCCCATTCTCAACTTAAATATATGTAGTTTAGGGAAGACACATGAGAAAACTTCTATTTAGCTGAAGAGGACAGTGGGCTCTTCCTCAAACTTGAATAATATTTTCTTACACCATCATGATTTCCACAGTTTAAACATCCCCAGGTCAGCAAACACACTTTGAAAAGCCCAGTCTTAGAATTAACTTGACTCGTACAACACAGGTGTCAGAAATTCAGAATTCAAAGACATTCAATAATCAGAAAACCTGTATTTTCATATCTGGCATAGACACACTACAACATTTTGTAAACAAGCTATCCCTTTGTTATTTTCTGGCCAGCCCTATTCCACAATATTGTTAAGGATTTCCCTCTATGATTTCTTCTACCCAAAATGAGCAATGTAAACCTACAGCAGAGAAAAAAGAATATTGCTAACTTACTTGTATCTAAGAAACAACCACTGGAATATCCATAATCCAAGTAGTATCATTCCATTTATTTCTGATACAGAAAAAGCCCATTTCACACGATCAATGTAATCAAAAAATTTGTCAGGCAAGGGAGGGCTTAGCTCCTTTGGAGGTACTCTCTCATGGACCACAGTGATCATGACAGTTGTTAAAATCAAGTTGAAGAGAGCATAGACAAATGCAATGCCTGTTTTCCACCATTCCAGAGGGAATTTGTTCCTAGATTCAGCAGGCATAGCAATCTGGATGTAATCAGGATACTTCTTTGCTGTTTTTCGCAAGCCATTAGACAAGCCCTTTGGTTTGCTAGTGCCATTTTTGTTCTCTTCACTGACTGAGAGAGTAGGTCGTGAGTAGCCATTAGAAGTCTCATTTGGCTGACCCTCCATGTGCTCTTCAAGCTTTGCTGTCTCAATGGTATTCATTTCCAAGCTGTATGGCCAAAGAGGCTTTATTAGTGACCAATTTCTGGGCTCTCTGAACGCTGTTATTCCTCAAAGTCCAATGTTCTTGTTCCTAGATGACTTCTGTAGAACTCTAAAATGCATCCATTGTGCTTTCAAAGGAATTTGTGAAGACAAATCTTTCTTCTAGAGCTGAATAATCTGCAAAAAAAAAAAACCAAACCCAAAACAGATACTGAGAGTCTTCATAACTAGTAATGTGACAGTGAACAAAATATTCTCAGAACAGGCATCTTTAAGTATTTCAATTCCATCCAAGTCTACTTAGAAACACAGTCAAAAGGCAAATTACTGAAATAATTCAAGCCAACTCCTACTTGATAAATCTCTCATATCAGTTTAAGAACTAGTAACAACTTAGTCTTGGATTTTTTTTAAAAGGACAAGCCCCACAGACCTTAATGATCATGACATCACTTGCTTTATCAGTTATCAGAATTAATTCGTATTTGGAGCAACATCCAAATTTGCTCCATATTCACAGCAACATTGAATTTTACTGCTTAGAGATATTCCATAAAAAATATCCTGATTTTGACCACACAGCTGCTACAGATCTTAATATGGGTTGTCCACATAGATCAGACAAATCTTGTCAGTTCAGGTGATGGGAAAAAAAAACCAGAATGGTACTAGGGTACTATAGAATTCAATTTTGTAGGGCATAAATTAATTTAGATTAATCTAGAAAATCTACTCAATGGATAGCTCCATTAAATTTCATTAGATCTAAATGAGTATTCCATCAAGTCAAAAATGCATTTATATAGCCATTGTAATATCCACTAAATGTCTGAAATTTCAGATAACTGAGAAATATATCCCTGGATTCAATTCTTAGTTATGGTACACTACACAAACAGCAGATGACAAATGAACCTTTGTTTGTCCTTTAGCTACTTTAAAAACAAATCTATTTAGAAGGTTTTTAAACAGGAACAAATAGAAAGTCATTATTACTCAGGATTTATTTCAGGCTGCATTTGCTAATTCATAAAAGTTTTGCAACCTAAACAGGTACGTGCACGTTTTATAGCAAGTTTTTCTACAAGGAACAAAGAATGAAGTTCATCTCTAGCAAACAGACATCTCACTAGTAAAAATAAAGGCCATTTCCCCATCTCAAGTTCTGTGAAATCCCTTACCATAGCTGTGATGTACCTATTTTTCTTACTCTGTTCAGTTCCTATTACAAAAATAGTATTACCATGTACAAATTGCTCCCCATCTACCAGTAAATTGTGATTCTTTCCTATTTTAGTGGTTCCTGCAAGAGAAGTTCAGCACTGCTACCCCCTCAAGTGTCTGCATGCCAACTGCAGGCTGCCAGTTTGCCATGCTTTGTGTGCAATTAATTCACCATGATGGCAGCTGGAGCTGCCAGTCTCCCTAACCATACACCACAGGACTTGCTTAACAACATGCCACCTGCTTACAGGACAATCTAAACCAAAAAGAGCCTGGAAAGTCAAGTGATGGTGTTTTGGTCCTTCCAGCCTCATCCCACCAAACAGAGAAGACATTTAACATTGTCAGCACCTAAATCTCACCGATTTCCTGGCTGCTTCTCCAACCACTGAAAAAAGAGAAGTAGAAGTTCAGATCCCAAATATGATGTTCATACAAATAAAACTGAAGACAGAAATAGCTGAGAAGCATTTCTAAATTTATGCCCTAGCAGATTTTCTGAAATCCACTGTCATTGGTTGACCTTCCCTAAATTCCTGATCAACAAGTGTATAACTATCCATACACAACACATACAAACAACAGACATCCAAGAAAACAAGTGGTGATTTTTGATGCTTTTTCTCTCTCTTAGCAGTCATATTGTGATCTCTATCTCCATCTCCAAGAAAAGATCAGCCAGACAACAACTTCTGATGCTTCCTACAACTAAAAATACCTATTTAGAGCATCTACAAAAGCAACAGACTTACTCAAAACTACACCAGAATAGTATTTAAGCTTTCACAAGTCTTTTTCTTAACACACACACACTTCTATTCCTTCTGTCTACCACTAAAGTTAAGCATATGACAGAACACATTAGTGACAGCAGAGAAAAACTGAACCCAACTGCTTATGTTTTGGAATACATGTACCTAAATTTCATCTATTAAGTCAAGACCCCACTTCTCACCATTATGTCACATATAGCAGCCACTGAGGCAGCACTCAGCAAAACCTGGCAAATTTTACATCCTGTGCAGTTGAAACATTATTAGAATTATGCATTAACTGAGAGCAAGCTACCTTAGTTATTTCCTTCCGTTCTCCACAAATACCTAACCTAGAGTGCCTAGTGCCATAAGTGAAAGATTTTACTTTCAGATGTTTAATGTGATCCAAGCTTTAAAGACCAAAGAGTATCTGAAGTACAGATGAACAATAACATAAGAACTTAAAAAGTCAAGTAGTGCTCGTGTTCTCATATTAACTTATTAAGCAAAACAATTATAGCTACAGCTTGCAGGAGAAAGTTGTGTTCCTTCCTGGTACTTTTAAATGGATTGTAAGGCATATTGATCTACCACTTCTGATGGCTCATCAAGATTATTTCAAGCAGAGTGCATACTGCAGCCAAAAGTTTGTTTACATTGATAATTAAAGGTGCTATATATCATCAGATGAGTGATGTGTAAGAAGGCAAGTGCTTCCCTTTATAGTACCTTTTCAATCTCTTTCTTCCATATTCTAAAAGAAATTAGCAACTCTATTGATGAAAAAGACAAAAGTCTCTCAGTCCCTTGCTGCCAATCTGACTGGCCAGAGAAGTGACAGATACAGAGCGCCACCAGCCCAATCATCCTCTGCTACTGGCTGTAAAAGGAACTCCCCAGAAGTGTGCAGGCTCTTCTGCCAAGTTCCTGGTCCAAATTCACATATAATTCACCACCCAAAGTGGTTCCTTTTAGCTTCACGTTGTCCTTATGATCCTTTCGATAAAATATCCATTTGATTTTTTTGTCAAATCCAAAACATCCCCATATCAAAACCAGAAGATGCCCACAAACTGCCTAGTAGAAGGCCTTCAGCAACCAGGCAGCAATGCTTATACCTGGCCATCCTGCCAACACCTAGGTCTGAAAAGCATACTAAATTGCTCTAAAATAGGGAGCAACTGCTGGGGAAGTCTCAAACTCACAAATAACTGGCCAAGTAACCCAAAAAGAAAAATAAAATTCCTATAAAGGATAACTCCAAGTTTTAGGAAAGTTTTCCTTTTGAAACCGCTTCTATACCTTCTAAAAATGAATGTTACCTTATCAAGAAGCAGAGTTTCTTAAGCAGCAGCTTTACAGCAAAAATCATAACTGCCTCAAGTAACAACATATTTCAAAGAAAATCTTTAGAATTAACAAGATGCTAAAGGAGGAAGTGTCCTAATATTTTATCATGAGCTCCTACCTGCTCCCATGCAAATAGCAGCCCTTAGCTCTCTGCATCTCCATTTGACTGTCATTTGGAAGAAAATAGTTGATGGGGAGCACAGCTTTGAGACAAGCACCAGAAAGCATGTCTGCATTTGGCTCTTTATGCTAGAACTTAAGAATAACAGAGTTTTATTTAGCTTGTTAGTCATCCAATTTTCATCTAAAGGTCATTTTCACACAAAGTTAGCTCCCAAACTATTTCTCATCCAGAATTGGAACTTGCACATTTCTCAAAATATTTTAATTTCTATAATTTATGAAGGACTGAATAGTCACAATTTGCACAGGGTTTTCAAATAAGCAGTTCTTAACCTGCTGTTTAAACACTACTTGAACAAGAATATCCAAAACTGTGAGACTGATCTATTCTGACATTAAGAGAAGCTATACTTTCATATACAAAATGGAAAAGACTTCTGATAGTACTATTTTAAAGCTTTTTGTTAAGGTTGGTAATCAATCAAATATTTGATACAGCTGTATTTGGTAACCGAAGAAAAGGGGTGTGCAAACAAAGTACAATTTGAAGTAACTTATCTGCGTCACACAGTTACTGGCAGACAATTTTTTTGCTAGCTTGTATTTTGATCAGTTAAATTTTTAGGACTACCTATGGAACTAGAACTAAAAAAAGCCAGGTTACCACTGTCATCTACACAGCAATGAATAAAAACTTCCTTTTAGGGGTTTCTCCTTAATTTTGATTTTTGAAAGCATTCCAGATCTCACTATCCATTACTCCAGGCTATATGTACCTCTCACAGCATGCAGGCTGCTGGAAGGAAGAAAAAACAAGCCCAACAACACCCAAAACGTCCAGAAGACAACTGCTGTGATGCTAAAGAATTGCAAGTAAAACAAAGCTGGATTACAGAAGTACCGTTCATTATCATCACATTATCACCTGCAGAAATGTTAGCTTTTTTATTAAAAAAATAATTAACTATTTACATCACATGCAGTTATTTGCAGCAGTAGAAACAGAGCAGTTACTCCCTGTACCCTGAGAGGGGGATTGTAAATCCCTCATTTAGGATTACTAATATACCAACAGAAGACATATTTAAGGACTAAATCCCTACACTAAAGAGAGGAGAAAAAGCTTCAAAGTTACAAGTTATCCATTTGTACAAACCAAGGTTTACCAGTCCTGTAGAATTCTATTTCTTCATACCTCTTAATAGTAACAAGTATGTTAGGTTTCATTTTCCTAGTAATTCATTATCCAGTGTGTTCTACAGCAGCGCCAGGTTCTGAAACAGTATGTCCCAAAAAGCACCCAAAAAACTCCCATTTTGTAGCACCACAGAATGGTTTGGGTTGAAAATGACCTTAAAGGTCATCTAGTTCCAACTCTCCCGCTATGAGCAGGGACACCTTCCACTAGAGCAAGTCCTTAAAGCCCCATCCAACCGGTCCTCAGGAACTGAACAAGCAAGGAAAAAAAGTATCTTTAAGCTCTTTTATAATTTTGAACACCACTGAGTAGGTTTGCCTTAACTGCTTGAAGGGATCTTTAAACTCTTGAACTGTTTGGTCCCCAGAGTCCGAAGGACTGTATTTGGTAACTAAGAGTCTGATGTCCTTTAAAGGTGACACCATGACATGGCTAGATTTTCCTTGTGATTAGTATTACCCTTGTCTTTCGAGAAACAAGATCACAATAGCTGTCCAATACTTGTTATCTTTTAGTGCTACTGTAAC